TAAGAATGAAGAAAACGGAAAAAAACAACAAAACCTTGTGAAGGTAAAAGCCAAAGAAAAAGAAACTCATTGTTAACTTTTTCCACAGCTAGAATCTCAAGAAAAATGTTAAATCTCTTCTTTTACCTGAGAGTCCATGCAAGCTACGAAACAACATTGATTGGCAGTTAAAGCTCCGATTACATTTAAAACAACATTTTACGCAATTAAGTTGCCAACAAGTTTAAAATTATGCAATTATGGTCTTTGAGAAATTGCTGCTAAATTACACACAACCAAACAGAATCAAATCAGACGACTACCTTTTGCATGTAATTCCAACAACGGCAAACACTATGGAACTTTTAGAAGATTGAATGGTTTTGTTACTTTTCATACATGAAAATAACAATTCATTTTATTTAAATTAAAGCGAAAGTTTAGCAGGAGCTTTTAGATGGAAAGGAAGTGTTTGTTATTGGCTGTTTTGCTAACAGCTAGTAACTACACTTTGCACTATGGAAACTTAAGAAATGCTTAATATTTTTTATGTAGTTGAAGTTACTCAACGTTTATTGAGGCCCTGGTTTAGTTGTTTATGATATTTATTAGAATTTAATATTAAACAATTAAGTTTTTATCTTTTTTTGTTGTTTCTTTATCGAAATCAAGAATTAAAAATACAATTTAAATGATGATATGCTTTGCTTGGTATGTTGTCAGTAGAATTCTTTTTTTGTGCCAGTACGTGGTTGTCCATTGATTACATTATTCATACATGACTTTAGTTTGGAAAATTTTTTTTTTGCCAGCTTCTCTGGCAAAACTGCTAATTAACATGTTAAATGTGTTATTAGCGCAGCTATAGATGAACGTTTATGCTATAGCTTAGCTTCCATTATTTTTTTGAGTCTTACTGAATGAATTTTGAATCAAGTGATTGAAGGTACATGAAACATTTTAAAATTAAATGAGTTCATTAAAAATGTTAATTAGAAGTCATTTGATAGATTTTTTTTTGATTAGATTGACACTAAATAGAAGGGAAAATTGAAAGCCACAGGAAGAAAAGTATAATAACTATTGAACAAACTACAAACTACATCTAGTCTGTAACTCTAGATTATAGTATAGCTTAGCTTATGCTCTGGATATAGTATAGTCCATAGTATGGATTATAGTCTATACTATAGTCTCGACTGTGGTCTAGTCTATAGTCTAGTCTATAGTCTAGTCTATAGTCTAGTCTATAGTCTAGTCTATAGTCTAGTCTATAGTCTAGTCTATAGTCTAGTCTATAGTCTAGTATATAGTCTAGTATATAGTCTAGTCTATGTCTAGTCTATAGTCTAGTATATAGTCCTAGTCTATAGTCTAGTCTATAGTCTAGTCTATAGTCTAGTCTATAGTCTAGTCTATAGTCTAGTCTATAGTCTAGTCTATAGTCTAGTCTATAGTCTAGTCTATAGTCTAGTCTATAGTTCATAGTCTAGTCTAAGTCTAGTCTATAGTCTAGTCTATAGTCTAGTCTATAGTCTAGTCTATAGTCTAGGTCTATAGTCTAGTCTATAGTCTAGTCTATAGTCTAGTCTATAGTCTAGTCTATAGTCTAGTCTATAGTCTAGTCCTATTAGTCTAGTCTATAGTCTAGTCTCTAGTAGTCTAGTCTAGTCTAGTCTAATAAGTCTAGTCTATAGTCTAGTCTATAGTCTAGTCTATAGTCTAGTCATAGTCTAGTCTATAGTCTAGTCTATAGTCTAGTCTATAGTCTAGTCTATAGTCTAGTCTATAGTCTAGTCTATAGTCCTAGTCTATAGTCTAGTCTATAGTCTAGTCTATAGTCTAGTCTATAGTCTAGTCCTAGTCTATAGTCTAGTCTATAGTCTAGTCTATAGTCTAGTCTATAGTCTAGTCTATAGTCTCGTCTATAGTCTAGTCTATAGTCTAGTCTATAGTCTAATCTATAGTCTAGTCTATAGTCTCGTCTATAGTCTAGTCTATAGTCTCGTCTATAGTCTCGTCTATAGTCTAGTCTATAGTCTTGTCTATATTCTAGTCTATAGTCTTGTCTATAGTCTCGTCTATAGTATAGTCTATATTCTAGTCTGTAGTCTAGTCTATAGTCTAGTCTGTAGTCTAGTCTATAGTCTAGTCTATAGTCTAGTCTATAGTCTAGTCTATAGTCTAGTCTATAGTCTAGTGTATAGTCTAGTCTATAGCCTAGTCTATAGTCTAGTCTATAGTCTAGTCTATAGTCTAGTCTATAGTCTAGTCTATAGTCTAGTCTATAGTCTAGTCTATAGTCTAGTCTATAGTCTAGTCTATAGTCTAGTCTATAGTCTAGTCTATAGTCTAGTCTATAGTCTAGTCTATAGTCTAGTCTATTGTCTAGTCTATAGTCTAGTCTACAGTTTAGTCTATAGTCTAGTCTATAGTCTAGTTTATAGTCTAGTCTACAGTTTAGTCTATAGTCTAGTCTATAGCCTAGTTTATAGTCTAGTATATAGACTAGTCTATTGTCTAGTCTATAATCTAGTCTATAGTCTAGTCTACCGTCTAGGTTATAGTCTAGTCTATTGTCTAGTCTATAGTCTAGTCTATAGTCTGTAATCTAGTATAAAGGCTTTAGTAGGATAGATTTTAAATAATAATCTAGGCTAGAATCTAACTAACTAACTATAGTCCAAACTTTAAATGTACATTTTCTTTAAAAAAGTAGTGATATCATGTAATGATATATAAATATTTATTAAAAAAAATGTGTATTTAATTTAATTAATTAAATAATAAATTATTTTAAAATTAATTAAAATTGTAATTCATTTTTGACTTACCTCCTTAACTCCCTTTAAATGTTGCCAATTATTTCGTATAATTTCCTCAGTATGGTAATCATTGCCTCATGTAAACAAACCGCTGCTCTTCATAAAAAACTTAAACCAAACAACAACAACAAACACTCATTTATTTTACTCTGCTCTTAAAATTCATTTTTCTTATTTCTTTCTCTTGCCTTTTTAAAAACAATAACAAAACACTTGCTTTCTATGTCCAATGCATTTTGCAGTCGTTGGTGACAAACACAACAACAAACACACACAAGAATAAAGACAAGAATATGCAAAACTTAAAACACAAACAACAAACACTACACTAAATAAAGCAATATGGAGGAAATTTTTTTCTTTGACTAAAACACTTTCTTTTACACTTAATTTTTTACTTTTATTTAAAGTTTTATGATTATCTTTTATAATAATTTTATTACTTGCACTTTTAGCTACATTTTGATATACATTTTATTATATTTAAACACTTGTAACTATTATTAATTAATTTTTAATCAGGACAAACACGAGTTTTAATGCGTAAGTTTAAGAAATCCACGAGAAACTGAAATAATTGAAAAGAAATTGAAAGCCTATTAAGTGGGAGTAGGGTAGCCACATTGCTGTGTTTGTTTTTAACATTGGGAAAATGAAGGGGTTAAGGAAATTTCCTGTATTTAGTGATTTTTTAAGCTAATTGATAAATTTTCTTGTAAAATGATTTGGTAAAAGGGGAAATAGGTTTAATTTGTTAATTTTAAACTATAGTTTAGTATATTGTCTGGACTATTATCTACAGTATGGACTTTAGTGTAGTCCTAGGTCTAGACTATAGAGTCTTGTATATAGTCTGGACTATTATCAATGCTATTATTTGGATAATAGTGTCATCTATAGTCTAGACTATAGATTTTATATATAGTCAAGTCTAAACATAATATCGGCTACAGTCTTGACAATAGTTTAGTCTATAGTCTGGACTATTGTCTAGTCCATAGACTGGACTAGTATGAACAATAGTTTAATCTAGTCTAAACTTAGTTCGGACTATAGTTTAGTCTGTAGTCTAGACTATAATAGTCTGGTTTATAGTCTCGACTATAGTCTGTTGTCTAATCTAGTCTATAGTATGGACTATAGTCCATTCTATAGTCTGGACTATAGTCTAGTTTATAGTCTGGAGTATAGTGTAGTCAATGGACTGGACCATAGTATATTCTATAGTCTGGACTATAGCTTAGTCTATAGTCTCGACCATTGTCTAGTCTTAGCCTGGACTATAGTCTACTCTTCAGTGAAAACTATAGCCTATAGTCTGGACTATAATTTAGCCTATAGTATTAACCATAGTTTAGTCAATTGTCTAGACTATAGTTTAGTCTATGGTCTTGCCTATAGTCGTAGCTATAGTCTAGTCCATAGTCTGGACCATTGTCTATTCTATAGTCTGGCGCATAGTTTAGCCTATAGCCTAGACTATAGTCTATAGTCTGGACTACAGTCTTGTCTATAGTCAGGACTATAGTCTAGTCTGGGCTATAGTCTAGTCCATAGTCTTTACCATTGTCTATTCTATAGTCTGGACTATAGTTTTGTCTATAGTCTGGACTACAGTCTTGTCTATAGTCTGGACTACAGTCTTGTCTATAGTCTGGAGTATAGCCTAGTCTTTTCCATAATCTAGGCTATATTCTGGACTATAGTCTAGTCTATAGTCTGGGCAATAGTCTATATTAAGCCTGTACTATAGTCTAATCTATGGACTGGTCTATATACTACTATACAGTCTGAACTATAGTTTAGGCTATAGTCATACCTGTAGTCTGTAAAGAAGACTTAAAGTAGTATTAACTACTTAAAGTCTTGTTTAGAGACTGATTTACAGACTATAGCATTTAGTCTGGCCTATAGTCTAGTCCATAGTCTGGACTATAGCTTAAAGCATAGTCTGAACTATAATATGTTCTGTTAATAGTTCGGACTATTGTCTAGTCTATATTCCGAACTATAGTCTAGTCTATAGTCTGAACTTTAGTCGGGTTTAATCTATAGTTTATATTAAATAAACTGAACTATAACGACTCAGTCAAGACTACTACTATATACATATTTTACATAGGCCGAAAGGTCCTAGTAGTCTAATCTTAATTTCAAAATGAAAAAATCTGAATATTTTGTGAAGTTTTACTCCGTTTATTTAAAATTTAGAAATTTACATATCTCCGCGGAAACATTTTGGGAAACTGATATTTTGACAGTTGGTCTCATCCACAATATGGAAAACTTAAAAGATTTTTTTAAAAATATCCATTAGTTTCAAAAATATTCTGAAATTTTTTCTGCTTAACTTACTTTTCTGTGTATTCAAACAATTATAGATGGTCAATTCACATTGACTTTCAAATTCCCGATAACAACGACCATTATAACCACACACGGTTACATCGAGAGGATTACAAATAAAATTACATTTCAATGAGCCTTCGGCTTGCACGTAACGACGATTATCGAAAGAGCGTACTAAACGTTGTTGGTTGGCTACTTGAGAGGCTTGAGAGAGGTCTTCTTTAATATCCTGACCTAAAGATCCTTGCAGCAGGAGGAACACAGCTTAAAGAGATGAAATGTTAACAGAAACTTTAAAATTTCTAAGGAAAGGAGTCTTACCAAATATAACTAAAAATTTCATGTTGTTGTTGAGTTTACAGTGGGAATACTACTTGTATATAGCCAAACTGATAATGGCTTTTATATACCTTAAGTTTGATCATTTTGAAGGCCCCTTCATTCTTTTATTTGAAGAAGGATTATGCAATTTTATGTTAAATTATGTAAAGTAAACAGCATAAGTTTGTTTAATGCAAATTTTATGAATTTATTAAATATATTGAATAATGCTGAAGTTAGGAGTGACTAAATTTAGAACCAGACAAAGTGCTTCAAAAATTGTAAAGAAAAACGATTAAAAATAATTATCTGAATTTAATTAAACCAATTAATATGCAAGCATTTACATCGTTAAGGTTTGAAATTATTTTAAACCGGTTTGTTTGAACTCAATATTTAAACGTCTTGAAAAGCAAACATTTTGTTACGAAATTTTTTACAACATTTTTGTCTGGTTCTAAATTTAGTAACTCGTAAATTCACCACATTCCAAACATGTGTTCCGAATTAAAGAATTGTTATTAAAATTTAAAATTAATTTATTCTTTATAAAAATATTAATAAACTGGTTGCTGGGGAAATTTCTATATAAAATTGCATAATCCAAATTAAACTTAAAGGAATTTATGGGTCACTATATTCAGAAAAAGACTTTTTTGCTTCAGTATATAAAAGTCAATGACAGTTGGTAAACCACAATTAGTAAAACCACTGTGAACTCTTCAACAACATGAAATATTTAGGAGTTTTTGGTAAGAGTCCACTTTTTTTAAAGGAACCTACAAAAAATCTACTAATATTCTTTATCTTCAAGTTGTTCTCTTCATCCTGCAAACAATTGCTAGTCAGGAAGTCGATAAAAAGCATCATACTCCCGGTCACATTGAAGATCAACAGGAAACTCAAGATCACTTTGAAAACAACCAACAACCTCTGGTTTCACAACAAATTCCTCAACAACCTACAGCAGAAACTCCCCACTCAAACGTTCAAGTACAACCTTCCCAAGAGCCCTCCCAAGTATCAGTACAAATTCCCCCTAAAGTACAACAAGTAGTTACTCAAGTCTCTCAACATATACCCGTAGTCTTGGCACAACATCTAGCCAATCAAAATCGTGTTGTACGCTCTCTTCAGAATCGTCGTAACTTGCCAAACATGGATTTGAAAGGACTTCGCAAATGTGATTTCATATGCAATGCTGTCGATGTTACAGTCTGCGGTTATAATGGACGCTGTTATAGGGAATTTGAAAGTCAATGTGAATTGAGTACTTATAACTGTTTGAATACACAGAAAGGTAAGGGATGGTGGAAAAAAAAATTCTTTATAAAATTTATAAACTAATGGAACCTTAAAATTTCTATTCCAAAGCTTTCTATGTTGTGGATGGTTCAAACTGTCAGGACATCAGTTATCCTACATGTTATCCAGGAGATATATAAAATAGCCGGGAATAGGAAATAATATAAACTGAGTCAAATTTAATAAAGTCGAAAATGTCAATAATAACTTTACTTTGTAATTTATTCAGATAAATCTTTAGACTAGAACATGGTCCAGACTAGACTATACACCAGATTATACACTAGACTATATCCTAGACTATTGACTGGACTCTAGACTACACCGACGACTGGACTGTAGATTACACTATATACTAGACTTCAGACTATGGACTAGACTATAAACTAGACTATAGACTAGACTATAGACTAGACTATAGACTAGACTATAGACTAGACTATAGACTAGACTATAGACTAGACTATAGACTAGACTATAGACTAGACTATAGACTAGACTATAGACTAGACTATAGACTAGACTATAGACTAGGCTATAGACTAGACTATAGACTAGACTATAGACTAGACTATAGACTAGACTATACACTAGACTATACACTAGACTATAGACTAGACTATAGACTAGACTATACACTAGACTATACACTAGACTATAGACTAGACTATAGACTAGACTATAGACTAGACTATAGACTAGACTATACTAACTATAGACTAGACTATAGACTAGACTATAGACTAGACTATAGCTAGACTATAGACTAGACTATAGACTAGACTATAGACTAGACTATAGACTATAGACTAGACTATAGACTAGACTATAGACTAGACTATAGACTAGACTATAGACTAGACTATAGACTAGACTATAGACTAGACTATAGACTAGACTATAGACTAGACTATAGACTAGACTATAGACTAGACTATAGACTAGACTAGAGACTATAGACTAGACTATAGACTAGACTATAGACTAGACTATAGACTAGACTATAGACTAGACTATAGACTAGACTATAGACTAGACTAGACTAGACTATAGACTAGACTATAGACTAGACTATAGACTAGACTATAGACTAGACTATAGACTAGACTATAGACTAGACTATAGACTAGACTATAGACTAGACTATAGACTAGACTATAGACTAGACTATAGACTAGACTATAGACTAGACTATAGACTAGACTATAGACTAGACTATAGACTAGACTATAGACTAGACTATAGACTAGACTATAGACTAGACTATAGACTAGACTATAGACTAGACATAGACTAGACTATAGACTAGACTATAGACTAGACTATAGACTAGACTATAGACTAGACTATAGACTAGACTATAGACTAGACTATAGACTAGACTATAGACTAGACTATAACTAGACTAGAGACTAGACTATAGACTAGACTATAGACTAGACTATAGACTAGAATATAGACTAGACTATAGACTAGACTATACTAGACTATAGACTAGACTATAGACTAGACATAGACTAGACTATAGACGAGACTATAGACTAGACTTAGACTAGACTATAGACTAGACTATAGACTAGACTATAGACTAGACTATAGACTAGACTTACTGACTTAGACTAGACTATAGACTAGACTATAGACTAGACTATAGACTAGACTATAGACTAGACTATAGACTAGACTTAGAATAGACTAACTATGAGACTAGACTATAGACTAGACTATAGACTAGACTATAGACAGACTATAGACTAGACAAGACCGACTATAGACTAGACTATAGACTAGGACTATAGACTAGACTATAGACTAGACTATAGACTAGACTATAGACTAGACTATAGACTATACCTGATAGACTAGACTATAGACTAGACTATAGACTAGACGATAGACTAGACCTATAGACTAGACTATAGACTACTATAGACTAGACTATAGACTAGACTATAGACTACTATAGACTAGACTATAGACTAGACTATAGACTAGACTATAGACTAGACTATAGACTAGACTATAGACTAGACTATAGACTAGACTATAGACTAGACTATAGACTAGACTATAGACTAGACTATAGACTAGACTATAGACTAGACTATAGACTAGACTATAGACTAGACTATAGACTAGACTATAGACTAGACTATAAACTAGACTATAGACTAGACTATAGACTAGACTATAGACTAGACTATAGACTAGACTATAGACTAGACTATAGACTAGACTATAGACTAGACTATAGACTAGACTATAGACTAGACTATAGACTAGACTATAGACTAGACTATAGACTAGACTATAGACTAGACTATAGACTAGACTATAGACTAGACTATAGACTAGACTATAGACTAGACTATAGACTAGACTATAGACTAGACTATAGACTAGACTTAGACTAGACTATAGACTAGACTATAGACAGCAGAAACTCCCCACTCCAACGTTCAAGTACAACCTTCCCAAGAGCCCTCCCAAGTATCAGTACAAATTCCCCCTAAAGTACAACAAGTAGTTACTCAAGTCTCTCAACATATACCCGTAGTCTTGGCACAACATCTAGCCAATCAAAATCGTGTTGTACGCTCTCTTCAGAATCGTCGTAACTTGCCAAACATGGATTTGAAAGGACTTCGCAAATGTGATTTCATATGCAATGCTGTCGATGTTACAGTCTGCGGTTATAATGGACGCTGTTATAGGGAATTTGAAAGTCAATGTGAATTGGAGTACTTATAACTGTTTGAATACACAGAAAGGTAAGGGATGGTGGAAAAAAAATTCTTTATAAAATTTATAAACTAATGGAACCTTAAAATTTCTATTCCAAAGCTTTCTATGTTGTGGATGGTTCAAACTGTCAGGACATCAGTTATCCTACATGTTATCCAGGAGATATAATAAAATAGCCGGGAATAGGAAATAATATAAACGAGTCAAATTTAATAAAGTCGAAAATGTCAATAATAACTTTACTTTGTAATTTATTCAGTAAATCTTTAGACTAGAACATGGTCCAGACTAGACTATACACCAGATTATACCCTAGACTATATCCTAGACTATTGACTGGACTCTAGACTACACCGACGACTGGACTGTAGATTACACTAGATACTAGACTTCAGACTATGGACTAGACTTAACTGACTATAGACTAGACTATAGACTAGGACTAGCTAGACTAGAACTATAGACTAGAACTATAGGACTGACTATAGACTAGACTATAGACTAGACATAGACTAGACTATAGACTAGACTATGACTAGACTATAGACTATGCTATAGACTAGACTAATAGACTATAGAACTATAGACTAGACTATAGACTAGACTATAGACGAAGACTATAGACTAGACTATAGACTAGATATACACTAACTATACACTAGACTATAGACTAACTATAGACTAGACTATACACTAGACTATACACTAGACTATAGACTAGACTATAGACTAGACTATAGACTAGACTATAGACTAGACTATAGACTAGACTATAGACTAGACTATACACTAGACTATAGACTAGACTATACTAGACTATAGACTAGACTATAGACTAGACTATAGACTAGACTATAGACTAGACTATAGACTAGACTATAGACTAGACTATAGACTAGACTATAGACTAGACTATAGACTAGACTATAGACTAGACTATAGACTAGACTATAGACTAGACTATAGACTAGACTATAGACTAGACTATAGACTAGACTATAGACTAGACTATAGACTAGACTATAGACTAGACTATAGACTAGACTATAGACTAGACTATAGACTAGACTATAGACTAGACTATAGACTAGACTATAGACTAGACTATAGACTAGACTATAGACTAGACTATAGACTAGACTATAGACTAGACTATAGACTAGACTATAGACTAGACTATAGACTAGACTATAGACTAGACTATAGACTAGACTATAGACTAGACTATAGACTAGACTATAGACTAGACTATAGACTAGACTATAGACTAGACTATAGACTAGACTATAGACTAGACTATAGACTAGACTATAGACTAGACTATAGACTAGACTATAGACTAGACTATAGACTAGACTATAGACTATACTATAGACTAGACTATAGACTAGACTATAGACTAGACTATAGACTAGACTATAGACTAGACTATAGACTAGACTATAGACTAGACTATAGACTAGACTATAGACTAGACTATAGACTAGACTATAGACTTGACTATAGACTAGACTATAGACTAGACTATAGACTAGACTATAGACTAGACTATAGACTAGACTATAGACTAGACTATAGACTAGACTATAGACTAGACTATAGACTAGACTATAGACTAGACTATAGACTAGACTATAGACTAGACTATAGACTAGACTATAGACTGACTATAGACTAGACTATAGACTAGACTATAGACTAGACTGTAGACTAGACTATAGACTAGACTATAGACTAGACTATAGACTAGACTATAGACTAGACTATAGACTAGACTATAGACTAGACTATAGACTAGACTATAGACTAGACTATAGACTAGACTATAGACTAGACTATCTAGACTATAGACTAGACTATAGACTAGACTATAGACTAGACTATAGACTAGACTATAGACTGGACTATAGACTAGACTATAGACTGGACTATAGACTAGACTATAGACTAGACTATAGACTAGACTATAGACTAGACTATAGACTAGACTATAGACTAGACTATAGACTAGACTATAGACTAGACTATAGACTAGACTATAGACTAGACTATAGACTAGACTATAGACTAGACTATAGACTAGACTATAGACTAGACTATAGACTAGACTATAGACTAGACTATAGACTAGACTATAGACTAGACTATAGACTAGACTATAGACTAGACTATAGACTAGACTATAGACTAGACTATAGACTAGACTATAGACTAGACTATAGACTAGACTATAGACTAGACTATAGACTAGACTATAGACTAGACTATAGACTAGACTATAGACTAGACTATAGACTAGACTATAGACTAGACTATAGACTAGACTATAGACTAGACTATAGACTAGACTATAGACTAGACTATAGACTAGACTATAGACTAGACTATAGACTAGCCTATAGACTAGACTATAGACTAGACTATAGACTAGACTAGACTATAGACTAGACTAGACTATAGACTAGACTAGACATAGACTAGACTATAGACTAGACTATAGACTAGACTAGACTAGACTAGACTAGACTATAGACTAGACTATAGACTAGACTATAGACTAGACTATAGACTAGACTATAGACTAGACTATAGACTAGACTATAGACTAGACTATAGACTAGACTATAGACTAGACTATAGACTAGACTATAGACTAGACTATAGACTAGACTATAGACTAGACTATAGACTAGACTATAGACTAGGAATTATAGACTAGACTTATAGGGACTAGACTTAGACTAGACTATAGACTAGACTGTAGACTGGACTATAGACTAGACTATAGACTAGACTATAGACTAGACTATAGAGCTAGACTATAGACTAGACTATAGACTAGACTATAGACTAGACTATAGACTAGAACTATGACTAGACTATAGACTAGACTATAGACTAGACTATAGACTAGACATATAGACTAGACTATAGACTAGACTATAGACTAGACTATAGACTAGACTATGGACTAACTATAGACTAGACTATAGACTAGACTATAGACTGGACTATAGACTAGACTATAGACTAGACTATAGACTAGACTATAGACTAGACTATAGATTAGACTATAGACTAGACTATAGACTAGACTATAGACTAGACGATAGGCTAGACTATAGACTAAGAGACTAGACTAGACTAGACTAGACTAGACTAGACTGTAGACTGAGACTAGACCTGGAGACTAGACTATAGACTATACTATAGACTAGACTATAGACTAGACTATAGACTAGACTATAGACTAGACTATAGACTAGACTATAGACTAGACTATAGCTAGACTATAGACTAGACTATAGACTAGACTATAGACTAGACTATAGACTAGACCTTAGACTAGATTATAGACTATACTATAGACTAGACCAGGCTAGACTAAAGCTAAAAAGATTGTCCCAGACTAAAGTTCAGACTATGGAAAAGACCTATATGTAAGTATATAGTAGTATTCCAAACTAAAATCTATAAAATATTCGGCAGTAGCATTTCAAGTTCATAAAAATACCTTTTAATTTTCTGCTTTCCCTGTTGTCCTCCCCAAACCACCTGTGCAATAAACCTTAATTTTGTATGGATGTAAGTAGCAGCAACAACAACAGCATGTGTCGTTGTCATAATTATATGCCATAAAACTTTATGACTTATGTGAGCTGCAGTTGAAAATTGATAAACTAAAACCTGTATTAAAAATGTTTTTTTATAGTTTGGAAAAAAGTCTTGATAGTAGTGTACCATGGAGAGAACTTTTGTATGAGTTGACCAAAAGCAAAATATTCATTTTTTTATTATTAATGTTTAATAAAAGTGTTGTAAGCATAAAATTTCATGTAGTTTTACATATACATAAGCATAACATAAACAATTGTTCTAATGCTATTAAAAGCAGACTAAAAATGTGATAAAAAAACTACACAGGCAGCTGTAGTTAATTGAAAATTATAGAGGGTGAATTTTTAATTGAAAAGTGATGAAAGTTGAAATAAACTTGCAATTTATAGTAGTCAGAGGTATGTACTAAATATAAAATTTTAATTAATATAGGAAATTAAGAAATACTCAATTCAGCTAAGTTTTTTATTTATTCAGCAGGATAAAATTTACAATAATTGAAAAGTTGTTTAAAATTTTTCAAGAAAATTCAATTCAGCTAAGGAATTTTGCTATTCAGCTGAGTAAATTTGAATTTTTAAACATAAATTTTGCATTTTTCTTATAGAATGTTCAATTCAGCTGATAAGTTTTGTTATTCAGCTAACTAAATTTGTATATTGTTTAATATATTTTTGATTTAGTTAAGAAAAAACTAAATTCAGCTAAGGTTTTCTTTATTCAGCTAATAAAATGTGTTAATAATTATTAAAATTAGCCATATTCTACTAGAAAATTTAATTTAGTTTAGGAATTTTGCCATTCAGCTAAATTATTTTGCTATTCAGCTGAGTCAATTTGTAAATTTATCAATAAATTATTGTTTTTGTTAAGATAAACTTAATTCAGCAAAGTTTTGTTGTCATTCAGCAAAGAAAATTGTGCAAGAAATAAGCATTTTATCAATATTTTGTTAGAAAATGCAATTCAGCTAAGGAATTTTGCCATTCAGCTAAGTAATTTTGCTATTCAGCTAAGTAATTTTGCTATTCAGCTAAGTAATTTTGCTATTCAGCTAAGTAAATTTGTATATTTTTCAATAAATTAGTGATTTAGTTAAGAAAAACTTAATTCAGCTAAGTTTTTTGTTATTCAGCTTAGGAATTTTGCTATTTAGCTAAGTAAAATTGTATATTTTTAATAAAAAAGTAATTTAGTTAGGAAAAACTTAATTCAGCTATGTTTTTTCTTTATTCAGCCAAGAACATTTTGTAAAAAATTCAAATTCTTATAATATTGTCCCCAAAAATTATATTCAGCTAAGAAATTATGCTATTCGAGATTATCTGGAAGATTGGTAAAACTTTCTACAGTTTCGGAACGCTTTTTGCGTTGAGTTTCCGTAGCCATTAAGGGGGTCTAACTCGGTGGTCATTTCCATGTCCATAGGGTTCATGGACATGGCTTTGTTGATAGTTTTCTTCTACTATCGAGCCAAACATTGTTGGAATGATGGGTGGAATAGGTATAACTATTAAATCATGTAAGCCAAAGTCTGGAGACTGGAGTCCATCCTTGATTACTGCAATATCTTGTTTATCTTCTTCTTGAGGCACTACGTCAGCCTGACAAACAAGGCCTACTAATAGGAAATTAAGATAAACTTAGTGGAGAGTTTAGAAATGTACACTTCCTTTAACTTACCTGCACTTAATAATAATACCAACTTCATTCTGCTGTTTTAGCTAAGATATTTCAGAACTTACTGAGGTTTTTTCTACAAAAACTTAAAAGTTTTTATACTTTTTTTCTTATAAAAATTAAATTTTCTTCAGCAGCTGTTTTTTAATAAACTTCCAAAAACAGCTTTATTGAATGACGTCATTCATCAGTTGGTTTTCTTAGCCAGTTATTAAAATCTGTTTTGCTTTATCAAATTTAATGATTTAGTTAGGAAAAACTCAATTCAGCTAAGTTTTTCTATTATTCAGCTGAGGAACTTTGCTATTCAGCTAAGTAAAATGGTATATTTTCAACAAATTATTGATTTAGATAACAAAACTCAATTCAGCTAACTTATTTTGTTATTCAGCAAAGAAATTTGTTCAAAATATTAAAATAATTTTACTATTTCCCCCAAAAACTATATTCAGCTAAGAAATTCTGCCATTCAGCTAAGTAATTTTGCCATTCAGCTATGTAAATTTTTAAATTTTTCAATAAATTACTGATTTAGTTAAGAAAAACTTAATTCAGCTAAGTTTTTTTGCTATTCAGCTGAGGAATTTTGCTATTCAGCTAAGTAAATTTGTATATTTTTCAATAAATTAGTGATTTAGTTACGAAAAATTTAATTCAGCAAGACTTTTTTGTAATTCAGCTAAGAAAATTTTATAAAAAATTAAATTTTTTTTAACATTTCCCTCAAAAATTATATTAAGCTAAGAAATTTTGCTATTCAGCTAAGTAAATTTGTATATTTTTCAATAAATTAGTGATTTAGTTAAGAAAAACTTAATTCAGCAAGATTTTTCGTAATTCAGCTAAGAAAATTTTATAAAAAATTAAAGTTTTGTTAACATTTCCCCAAAAAAATTATATTAAGCTAAGAAATTTTGCTATTCAGCTAAGTAGATTTGTTTATTTTTCAATAAATTAGTGATTTAATTAAGAAAAACTTAATTCAGCTAAGTTTTTTTGCTATTCAGCTAAGTAAATTTGTATATTTTTCAATAAATTAGTGATTTAGTTAAGAAAAACTTAATTCAGCTATGTTTTTTCTTTATTCAGCTAAGAAAATTTTGTAAAATAAAAAAAATTTTTTAATATTCTGCTCAAAAATTATATTCAGCTAAGAAATTATGCTATTCAGCTAAAAAATTTATTAATTCATTTTAGCTGAGTTTAAGAAAAACTTCGTTATTTAGCTATTCAGCTAAGAATTTTATTCATTTCAGCTGAAATAATTCTTTATTTTCGACTTAATCACAAGTTAATTCTATTAATTTGCTTTTATTATGGAAAAAACAAATCGTTTTAAAAAAAACCCCTCTCTTTCCCCCTTTCTATTGCATCTCACTCTCGTCACACTTGTCCAGCCAATACATTTGACATTTGTCTTTATGTTCGGTGGGTTTGAACAATGCACCACCTTTATGTTTACAATTATAAGTATCCAAAGTACACTGATTCGGAAACTCATGCAAACACACACCATTTGAGGCACATATCGGATCTAATTCTAATTTTGTGCACAACAAGTCGCATGGTTCAGTGGTGGTCACGTCAAGATCATCTGGAAGATTAGTAAACCATTCTACAGTTTCAGATGTAAAGGGAATAGAACGCTTTTTGCGTTGAGTTTCCGTAGCCGGGTCCAACTCGGTGGTCATTTCCATGTTCTTAGGTTTCATCATACTTCTGGCTGTGATGATAATTTTATCAACATCTTCTTTCTTGTACTCTGAAACGGTGGGTAGGGGGTGGAACAGGTACAAGTACTATATGATGTCCGCCAACCTCTGGAAGCATTCGAAACATTCCATCATTGAATATTACAATATCTGGATCATCATCTTTAGGCGCTTCGTCAGCCTGACAAACAAGGATAACTGATAAAAAATTAAGATAAACTTAGTAGAGAGTTTAGAAATTTCCACTTCCTTTAACTTACCTGCACTTAATAATAACATCAACTTCATGCTGTTGCTTTAGCTAAGAAATTCCAAAACTTACTGTGATTTTTTCCACAAAAACTTTAAAGTTTTTATACTTTTTTCTTTAAAAATAATTTAATTTTCTTCAGCAGCTGTTTTTTGAATAAATTACAAACCATAAATTATGATAAATTCGTTTGCCTTCCATAAACAGCTTTATTGTATGACGTCATTCATCTGTTGATTTTCTTACCCAGTTATTTAAATTTCAAATTATTTCTTTATATCTGTTTTTTCCTTTATCAAATTTCTTTATTAAATTTATTACAATTCTTACTTATAAATAATTTGTTTAAATTATTTAAGTTATTTTTATATTTCTTTGCCTTTTTGTTAATAAGTGTGTGTGTGTGTGTTTTGTTTTTAATATTAAAGTCTTTATTATTTAAAAAAAAATATTAAATGCACCTTAAAATATGCTTTTGTTTCTTTGAAAGAAAATTTTATTTTTAAACAAATTACTAAAGGCTGATTTTAAGGCTTTAATAATAATATTTTAACACATATTATTATAATATTAAGTAATTTAAATTATTTTTAATGTCCTACATACATACGTTTTGAAAAGTTTATATGATTGTCCTTTAGTTAACGCAAATTTTTGTTTAGGAATAAAAAAAAAATATTTTAATGAAAAACTAAAGAATTTCTACTAAATAACAGAAAAAAATCCTAGAAAATTAAAATTTTCTTAATAACTAAACACTCCTCTTAAATAAAACCTTATTCAGCTGCTTAATTTGGCTATTCAGCTAAGCTTTTATCAATTCAGCTAATAGAAATACCTTACAAACAGCAAAATTTAATTATATTCTTCCAGAAAACTTAATTCAGCTAAGAAATTTTATTATTCAGCTAATTAAATTTTTATAATTTTCAATAAATTATGCATATAGTTTAGAAAAACTCAATTCAGCTAACATTGTAAGCAATTCAGCTAAGAAATTTTGCAATTCAGCTAACAAAATGTACATTTTAGATAAAAACTTCATATTTTTCCTTCAGAAAATATTCAGCTAACAAATAGAACTGAACTAGAACTGTACTAGAACTGAACTAGAACTGAACTAGAACTGAACTAGAACTGAACTAGAACTGAACTAGAACTGAACTAGAACTGAACTAGAACTGAACTAGAACTGAACTAGAACTGAACTAGAACTGAACTAGAACTGAACTAGAACTGAACTAGAACTCAACTAGAACTCAACTAGAACTGAACTAAAACTGAACTAGAACTGAACTAGAACTGAACTAGAACTGAACTAGAACTGAACTAGAACTGAACTAGAACTGAACTAGAACTGAACTAGAACTGAACTAGAACTGAACTAGAACTGAACTAGAACTGAACTAGAACTGAACTAGAACTGAACTAGAACTGAACTAGAACTGAACTAGAACTGAACTAGAACTGAACTAGAACTGAACTAGAACTGAACTAGAACTGAACTAGAACTGAACTAGAACTGAACTAGAACTGAACTAGAACTGAACTAGAACTGAACTAGAACTGAACTAGAACAGAACTAGAACTGAACTAGAACTGAACTAGAACTGAACTAGAACTGAACTAGAACTGAACTAGAACTGAACTAGAACTGAACTAGAACTGAACTAGAACTGAACTAGAACTGAACTAGAACTGAACTGAACTGAACTAGAACTGAACTAGAACTGAACTAGAACTGAACTAGAACTGAACTAGAACTGAACTAGAACTGAACTAGAACTGAACTAGAACTGAACTAGAACTGAACTAGAACTGAACTAGAACTGAACTAGAACTGAACTAGAACTGAACTAGAACTGAACTAGAACTGAACTAGAACTGAACTAGAAAACTGAACTAGAACTGAACTAGAACTGAACTAGAACTGAACTGAACTGAACTAGAACTGAACTAGAACTGAACTAGAACGAACTGAACTAGAACGGAACTAGAACTGAACTAGAACTGAACTAGAACTGAACTGAAACTGAACTAGAACTGAACTAGAAACTGAACTAGAACTGAACTAATGAACTGAACTAGAACTGAACTAGAACTGACTAGAACTGAATTCTAGAACTGAACTAGAAACTGAAATCTAGAACTGAACTAGAACTGAACCTAGAACTGAACTAGAACTGAACTAGAAACTGAACTAGAAGACTAGACTGAACTAGAACTGAAATAGAACTAGAACTGAACTAGAACTGAACTAGAACTGAACTAGAACTGAACTAGAACTGAACTAGAACTGAACTAGAACTGAACTAGAACTGAACTAGAACTGAACTAGAACTGAACTAGAACTGAACTAGAACTGAACTGAACTAGAACTGAAACTAGAACTGAACTAGAACTGAACTAGAACTGAACTAGAACTGAACTAGAACGGAACTAGAACTGAACTAGAACTGAACTAGAACTGAACTAGAACTGAACTAGAAACTAGAACTAGAACTGAACTAGAAACTGAATTACTAGAACTGAAACTAGAACTGAACTAGAACTGAACTAGAACTGAACTAGAACTGAACTAGAACTGAACTAGAACTGAAATAGAACTAGAACTGAACTAGAACTGAACTAGAACTGAACTAGAACTGAACTAGAACTGAACTAGAACTGAACTAGAACTGAACTAGAACTGAACTAGAACTGAACTAGAACTGAACTAGAACTGAACTAGAACTGAACTAGAACTGAACTAGAACTGAACTAGAACTGAACTAGAACTGAACTAGAACTGAACTAGAACTGAACTAGAACTGAACTAGAACTGAACTAGAACTGAACTAGAACTGAACTAGAACTGAACTAGAACTGAACTAGAACTGAACTAGAACTGAACTAGAACTGAACTAAACTATAGCCCTAGTCTAACAAAGTACTTGAATTGTTACATAAAATACTTAAAAGTTTTAGAAACAAATAAAAAAATACATTTTGATAAAAAACTTTAAAATTATAAAAAAATAAAATCATACTTTAGTTTGTTTTTATTAAAAAAATTATACATATTTTATTAATAATAATAATATACTTTATAGTTTTTATTTATATATAATAATAATAATTAATTTTATTTATGACTAACAATTAGGTTTAAAAAATTAGTTTATATATATTACAAGGAGCTTTTAAAATAAAACAAAAAAAAAATAATAAAGTTTTTAAAGAAAAAGCAAAAAATAATAATAAACTTAATATTTAATAAATAAAGTCTAAAAAGGGAAATCTTTAATAATTAAGAGAAAATTTTAAACATTTAAATAAAAATTTTGTTTTAATTTATACACTATTTAAAAAAATCTAACAAGTTTAAGGTTTTTTTTATTAAATTTTGTTTTTAAAACTAAGAATTTAATAATATATATATTTTTTATTAATAAAAAGCTTAAGTCATTTTTGAGAGGGTGTTAAAGGGAAAACAGATTTCTCTAAGATAAATCTCTTTTTTTCAGGAAGTTAAGGTTAAATATTTATAAATAAATTCTTTACAAAAAGCATAAATATCAAGGGGGTTTTTTAAAAACTAAAATAAAAGAAGCTTAAGGGAAGATTAACTTAAACTTGGAGTAACTTAAACTTTTTGGAACAAAGGTTTAGATGACAAAACTTCTTGCAATTAGATAATTTTAAGTTTCAACCAAGTTTAAATCAAACTTTAAGGGATTAAGTTTAGTTTTTGTAAATTATTAATAATATTGCTTATTTATAAAATGTTTAATAATTTCTTAATAAAAAGTTCTCATTTTGATTTTGTTTAAAAAAATAGTTTAATAATAAATTGGCCTTAATAAAGTTTCTTAGGGTTTTTTTTAATATAATTAATTAATAACTATTATTTATTATTTATGGCTTTAACTTCCAATAATTGAGGACATTTTTCCACAATATTTAATAATATTGTATCGATATAATGTTTAAGGCGGGTGTTTTCTTCCTCTTTCTCCTGGAAGGCTTGTTGTAACTAAGTTTATAAAAAAAAAATTTAAAAAAAAAACAAAAATATTTATTTTATTAATAAAAAAAAAAACAAAAAAAACTTATTTTCTAAAAAAATTAAAAAAAAAACTTTCACCTTTAAAACAAATATAAAACCTCAACCCAAAAAAAAATATTAGTTTTTTCCTTAAAATAAATGTGTGTTATGTTGTTTTTTTAATGTGATGTTGTTGTTTATATGAAAAAATGTTGTTTAACAAAAAAAAAAACCTTTAAACAAAACCCAATTTAACAAAAAAATGTTTAATTTGTTTTTTTTTTTTTAATTATTACCTGACTTAAGGATGCTAATGTGGTTGAATCCACAGAATCCTGTAATATAAATTTTTTGTTTTGCGCATAGAAAGAGAAATAAAAAATAATACACATTTGATGAGAATTGTATGAACAAAAAAACACAGTGGAAAATAAAATAAACATTAAAGCTATTGTAAATGCTTTTTCTGAAAAAGCTCTCTGTGAAAGCTTTTCTAAAAAGCTCACTTTAAAAGCTTTTCTAACAAATTTATTGTAAACGCTTTTGTATAAAAAACTCATTGTAAAAGCTATTCTAAAAAGCTTATGATAAAAGCTTTTCTAAAAAGCTCACTATAAAAGCTACTTTTTGTTTTTCCGAGGATTCTTAAAAAATGTATAACAAAACTATTGTAAAAGCTTTTTGATCTAAATCTCATTGCAAAAGCTTTTGTCAAAAGTTTTCTATAAACAACTCATTGTAAAAGCTATTTTAAAAAGTTTATTGTAAAAGTTTTTCTATAAAAAAAGCTCATTGTAAAAGCTTTTCTAAAAGCTTATTGTAAAAGCTTTTGTAAAAAAAGCTTTTCTTAAGAGCTCATAGTAAAAGCTTTTCTTAAAAACTCATAATAAAAGCATTTCTAAAAAGCTTGTTTTAAAAGCTTTTCTAAAAAGCTCACAATAAAGCTACTTTTTTGTTTTTCCGAGGATTCTTTAAAAAACTGTATAACAAAACTATTGTAAAAGCTTTTTGATCCAAATCTCACTGTAAAAGCTTTTGTAAAAAGTTAATTGTAAAAGCTTTTCTATAAAGAAATCTCATTGTAAAAGCTATTTTAAAAGTTTATTGTAAAAGCTTTTCTATAAAAAAAGCTCATTGTAAAAGCTTTTCTAAAAGCTTATTGTAAAAGCTTTTGGAAAAAAGCTTTTCGTAAAAAAGTTACCGTAAAAACTCAAAGTAAAAGCTTTTCTAAAAAGCTCACTATAAGAGCTTTTCTAAAAAGCTTGTTGTAAAAGCTTTCGAAAAAAAGCTTGTTTTAAAAACTCATTGTAAAAGCTTTTCTATAAAGACTATTGTAGAAGCTTTTCTAAAAGTTTATTGTAAAAGCTTTTCTAAAAAGCTCATTCTAAGACGCTCATAGTTACAGCTTTCCTATAAACTTAATTATAAATTTTTTTCTAAAAAGCTCACTGTAAAAGCTTTCTAAAAAGCTATTCTAAAATGTTCATTGTAAAAGCTTTTCTGAAAAGCTTATTGTAAAAACTTTTTCAAGAAGCTCATCGTAAAGTTAATTTTAAAAGAGTTTCCAAAAAATTTCATAGTAAAGGCTTTTCTAAGACCAATTGTAAAATCTTTTCTAAAAAGCTCATTGCAAAAACTTTGCTAAAAATCACTCATTAAGTTAATAACTAAACGCTCTAAGAAAATTATTGCTATTTTCAATTTCAGTTTTTAAAAAAAATTAACGAAAAAGCTTCATTTAAGAGATTAAAAAAAAAAAAATACTTTCTATAAATCTTTTTTAAGACAAATTGTTTACTAAAGTTTTGTTTTAAAGCTAAACACTTTAAAGGCTAGATTTAGTAATAAATTATTCAGAAAGCTTTTTGCAATCCCTAAAAACTTTAATATGTAATATGTAAGCTTTTCATAAGACCTTTGAAAACTTTTGTGTAATAAGCTTTTTTCTTCAATATTCGTCTAAAACCTTATAATAATTAAAAAGAACATCACACTAAATAAAATAAAAAGTAAAACTAAAAGCTTTTGATAGGTATGAAAGCATAACAAGTGTTTAAAGAGAGCTTTTTAAGCTCCCCATTGCAGTTTTAACTAAAACCATGCCAAACATGTAAAATGAGTGCCAAAACTGAAACCTAATTTTATGAAAAATATGAAAAACAAATAAATGAAGATGAATGAAATGGTCTCTAAAAAGCTTTCACTTGTTTCGATTCTAAAAAGTATTCTCTAAAATGTGAAATATATGGATTTGCAAACTACAACGAATGAAATATATTTTTGGAGAAATAACTTAGCAAAAGCTTAAGAAATGAGTTAAAATGAAAGCTTTTACATAAATGTATTTTAACAAAATGCTTTTAAAAGTTTGAGAAGAGCTTTCAAATAAAAGCTTAAGTAAAAACTTTAAAAGCTTTAAACAAGTTATTAAATAAAAGCTTTTTAATAAAAGCTTTTGAAAAGCTTTTTAATAAAAGTTTTAGAAAATCTATTTAATAAAAGCTTTAGAAAAGCTTTTTAATAGAAGCCTTAAAAAAGCTTTTAATAGAAGCATTAGAAAAGCTATTTAATAAAAGCTTTAGAAAATCTATTTAATAAAAGCTTCAGAAAAGCTTTTTAATAAAAACTTTAAAATTCTTTTTTTTTTTTCAAAAAAGCGGTTATAAAGCTTTCTAGTTAGAGCTTTATGAAAGGGTTTAAATAAAAGCTTTGTAAAAGTCTTTAAATAAATGCTTTAGAAAAACTTTAGATTAAAAATTTTTTAAATAAAAACTTTAGATTAAAAAGTTTTTAAATAAAAACTTTTGATAAAAGCTTTAGACACGTTTTTTTACTAAAAAGCTATATAAAGCTTTAAAAAAATAAATATAAAGCGCATTCAAATAAAGGCGACAAAAAGTTTTTTGAATAAACGTTGTTATAAAGCTTTTTAATAAAAAGCTGCTATAAAAGCTTTTTAATATAAAGTGTCAAAAAAGCTTTAAAAAGCTGCTATAAAAGCTTTTTTAATAAAAAATGTCAAAAAAGCTTTTTAATAAAAGGTTTAAAAAGCTCTTACAAAAGCTTTTTAATAAAGAGGTGTCAAAAAAGCTTTTAAATGAAAGCTTTAAAAAACTACTTTATAAACCATTTTGGGAAAGTGTAATAAAGTTTTATCTAAAACATTTCAGTAAAAGCTTTCAGAAAAAAATTATGTAAATGTCACTGAAATTACTAAAAATCATGCAAATCAATAGAGAAAACCAAAAGCTTTTTTAGTATAAAAGCTATGAAGCACTTATTATCAAAATTAGGAAAAAAAAATAAGAAAACATGCAAGCTGCAGCCTTAACATACGGTCTACGTAGCCAATATTTTCAAACTTTTTGTAGGTGTAATATGGTAATTATAAAAAAAAGCTTTTTTTGAGAAGCTAAAAGCGTTAACAGAAAAAAGTAGTGCTTACTAAATAAGTGCTTATTTTGCTTAATTGAATTCAAATAGAAGAGGGAAGAAAAATAACGTTGGTTTAAACATACCTGAGCTTGTGACATTTCTTCCAATTCTTGAGCCAAACTATTCAAAGTGCCATTCAACAAATGGCGACCCTCCTCCACGCCACGAGTTAAAACAGCAGCCTGCAGTTCTTCATTTTGTTCTTCCAAAGCTGTAAGAGAAAATACATTTATATTTATGGAACTTTTTATGGGATATATGAAAGCAAACCTCTATTCTTTTGACGCATTTCCTCTAGCTCCTGATGTAGTTCTTCCAGTCTTATGGATTCGGGTGAGGTGGTGGGCAAGGCCGGCCCAGTTTCCGCCCTCAAACGTTCCAATTCTTTACTTAACTCGAGCATTAGTTCTTCTGAAGTTTTCTTTTCTTTTTCATATTTACGTTCCTTTTGTAAAGCCTCATCGAGATCCTGTTGCAGAGCCACAATTTGATCTCTAGCCAGTTCAAATTTCTCCTCAGTGCGATGTAGATCATTGGCTTGTTTGTCACATAGGACACGCAAACGTTGATTCTCCTCACGCAAAGCATTGGCCTCGATTTCTATGGTTTTGATTTTGATCTGACAGTTTTCATTCTGTAAGGCAGCCTCACGCTCTACACGAGCCAAAAGCTCGCGATGGCGTTTTTGTTCTTCGGCTAAACGATCCTCGGCACGAAATTCAGCCTAAAGAGAAGGAAAATAAGAAAACGTTTGCTTTTTATTAAGAAGAAAAACAAGCTTACCTCCCGGAACTGCTCTTCCAGCATGTGATAGCGTGCCTGCAATACCGCATATTCGGTTTTTGTGCGTGAGGTTAAATCCTCGACAGTGGTTTTTGTATCCGTTAAATCTGTCACCTGACGCTGTAGTAATTCCAGCTGGAAATTTAGAAAAATTAAATATTAGTTTTTTTTTTAAAAAAGCTTAAATTAAGTTGAAAATTTTATCTTAAATTTGTACTTGTTTTAATACTAACACAATTATTTTTTAAATTTAAAATATCTTTTAAAACATCATCCACTACACTGTCAGCCATGGAGCTTTTTACAAACATTGGTGTTGTAATTTTAAAATTTAATTTTGCCCACAAAAAAAAAACGAATATTTTCCGTTTGCTTTCTTTCAATCTTCAGTTTTTTCCCGCATTTAACTCATTTAGCATCTACATGCCACTTGCCACTCTTTAAGTGTTGCATTGTAGTTTGCAATATTATTTTATCTCTATTCAAATTAGCCACGCGTTAGTCAGTTTTTTCGTGCATATGCGAAATTTTTTTTTAAATATTTAAAAAAAAAACTAATAAAAATATTTAAACGAAGGCGTTAATTATTTGCAGCTTCTTCCTACAGTTTGCTGTTGTTGGTTATTTGCATCTTTGCTGTTTGAACAGCAAATTGTGAACTGTTTGTTACTTTTTTTTCATTTCATTTAATTTAATTAATCATAAAAATACGTTTTTTTGTTAAACTCTCTTTAAGTTGTAAAATTAAAACAAATTGCTCTCTCTTTTACTGTTTATCTTGCTCGCTAGACTCAAGTAAGTTGCAATCTTGCAGTGATAAGAAAGTTGAATCAATGAAATACAGGGTGTTGCCTCTCAATGCAGCAAAAAAATTCTTAAGATTTTCAAAATCAAAATATTGTTAATTGAAAGCTTTTTTGGAAAAGCCTTTTAGAAAACACTTTAAACAAAATATTTAAAAAGAGCCTTTAAATAAGCTTTTTGGAAGAACTTTTAAAAAAGCTTTCTGGGAAAAGCTTTTAAATAAGCTTTTTTGGAAAGCTTTTAAATAAGCTTTTTGGAGAAGGTTTTAAATAAGCTTCTTGGAAAAGCTTTTGGGGACGGCTTTTAAATAAGCTTTTTGGAAAAGCTTTAAAATAAGATTTTTGGAAATGCTTTAAAATAAACTTTTTGGAAAAGCTTTCAAATAAGCTTTTTGGAAAAGCTTTTAAATAAGTTTTTTGTAAAAGCTTTTAAATAAGTTTTTTGTAAAAGCTTTTAAATAAGTTTTTTGTAAAAGCTTTTAAATTAGGTTTTTGTTAAAGCTTTTAAGTAAGCTTTTTGTAAAAGCTTTTTAAATAAGCTTTTTGTAAAAGCTTTTTAAAAAGCTTTTCGGAAATTTTTTAAATAAGCTTCGAAAAGCTTATTTTAAGCTTTTTGAAATGTTTTAAAATAAGCTTTTTTGTAAAAGCTTTTAAAAAAGCGTTTTGTTGAAAAAGCTTTTAAATAGGGTTTTTGGAAAACTGTTAAATAAGCTTTTTGAAAAAGCTTCTTATAAGTTTTTTGGAAAAACTGTTAAATAAGCTTTTTGAAAAAGCTTCTTATAAGTTTTTTGAAAAAGCTTTTTTATATAACATTTTTGAAAAAGCTTCTTATAAGTTTTTTGAAAAAGCTTTTGAACAATTTTTTAAGAAAAGCTTTTAAATAATCTTTTTAAAAACATTTTCACAAGCTTTTATGAACATTTTTCGTTTAAAAAAGTTTTAACAAAAAAATATTTTAGAAAAGCTATTAAACTATCGAACTATCGTTTCAAAAAAGATGTCATTTAGAAAAACTTTTAAACAATCGTTTTAACAAACGAAATGATTTAATTACAGCTTTACAGAAAGAGAGAAGTTGAAAAAATTTTTCTTTCAAAAAGCTTTATTTTAATAAAATCATAAAACTTATAAAGAAAGCTTATTATTAGAAAAGTTTAAATAAAATATTATAATAAAACTTTATATAAAATTTTTTAAAAATTTCTTAATAAAAGTTTTGAATCCACTTCAATTAACTCAAAAAAGCTTTCTTATAGAAAAGTTTCACTTATAATACTTTAAAAAAAGCTTACTGTTTTAAGAATTTTCTAAAAAGCTTTTGAAATTTTTGATTAAAAGTTTTAAAAAAGTAAAAAGTTTTTAATAAAAGCTTTAAAAAGGTTTTTTAATAAAAGCTTTGAAAAGCTTTTTAATAGAAGCTTTAAAAGAGCTTTTTAATAAAAGCTTTTAAAAAGCTTTTTAATAAAAGTTTTAAAAACGGATTTTAATAAAAGCTTTAAAAACGATTTTTAATAAAAGCTTTTTAATTAAAGCATTAAAAAAGCTTTTTAATAAGAGCTTTTTAATAAAATCTTTAAAAAGCTTTTTAATAAAAGAATTAAAAAAAAAATAATAAAAGCTTTAAAAAAGCTTTTTAATGAAAGCTTTAAAAAAGCTTTTCAATGAAAGCTGTAAAAAAGCTTTTTAATAAAATCATCCAAAGAACTTTTAAATAAAATCTATCAAAAAGCTTTTAATACAATTTTTAAAAAAGCTTTTTAAAAAAAGCTTTTTAATGAAAAATTTTAAAATGCTTTGGGAAAAAAAAACATGAAAACTTATTGTTTAGCAAAATTTTTAAGATTTTTGTTTTCATTCGAAATTTCCTCTATTTTTCCAACTCAACACCCTGTTTTTGCCATTAATTTGAAATACAATTTATTACGCTTGACTCTGAAGTAACTAAATAAATAAATATATAAATTTTTTTATATTTATTATTATTATTTGTTTTATTTAATTTTTCAATATGAAATCATTGTTAACAGCGAAACAATGACATTTCTATAGAATTTTTTGTGTGGGCAGAGTCGGTGGTGATTTGGTGTAGCAGCACCCAGCAGTAGTATAGTGTAGAATGTATTGATAAGAGCGGGTGTGTATAATGCAGCTATTTAGTTAATAAATTTATTATAAATAAACAAAACAGCTTTTTTATAAACAAATAAGAATAAAGGGGGAAAAGTTTCCCTAAAGACTAATTAAATTTTTTTTTTTTTTTTTGGCATTTGAAAAAGTTTTTTTTTAATTTTTTAGTATTTTTTCTAATAGATTTTATTTTGTTTAAATTTTTTTTTTTAAAGAATTTTGTTTATTTTTTTTGTTTAGTGCTTTATTTTTTAAGATTTTTTTTTTTTGTTATTTTACTGCAATTGTTTTGCTTTACTTTTCTTATTGTAAAGAGATCATTGACTCTTTTTCTTTACTTTTGCTTAAAAAAAATTGCATGTTTTTGTTGTTTTTTCTTTACTTTTGTTGTTGTTGTTGCTTTTTTATGACAATATAAAACAAAAATTTTACTTTTAAATTTATAATTAAATGTTTTCCTATTAAATTTTCATAATTTCACATATTTACACCCAACTAACCACACATACACACACAGCAATTAACTAGATAATAACATTATAAAGTGTTTATAAAACAATTATAAAATGTTTTTTATTATTATTGTTTTTTAGTCTTTAAAAAGTTAATGACTTTTATTAAAAAAAAAAGACCACAAATACCAACAATAGTTTGACTTTGAAATCAAAAAAACACGTTAAAAGCAGAGCGAACCCCTTTTAAACGGAGAGGGAAGGGAAGCAAAGAGAGCACATATTCCCACCACAAAATTTTAACTGAAATTTCTGCAAAATAAACACAACAACAAACAATTAACACGTTTCGTTTATAAAGACATCTACGGTTGTTTACTAAAGCGAGGTTTAAACGACATACAACAACAGTTTAGCAAAACGAAATCTTTTAAAAATGACGTTTTATACAAAAGAATCCAATTTACTTTAGATGGGGGCACAAATAAGAATTAAAACAATAAGATTGATAATTTTGAAAAAAAGATGAAATATCAACGATCGCGAACGTCATCAAACAATACTGTGTCGAACGGGCCGGGCCACAAACTAAATTAAACCGACGAAATTATTTAAACACACTAAAAAAGTTTTTGTATTTGTTTTTGGTTTTTTTCTCTTTTTTTTTGTTATTTCACATGTTGGCAAATGTATGGCGAAATAATAAAACAAAAACAACAAAATTTACATCAGCAAAAACAACAACAACAATACCAGCAACCAAAACTGAACGGCCTCAAAAACCAAAAAAAGAATCAACCAAAAAAAAACATAAACATTCTTCAAAAAAAAAAAAAATAGAACTAAATTTAGCATGCAGTAGCAAACGAAAAGACCAGTAACTAGTAGACACTTAAAGGGAATGTTGTAAAACCAAATAACAGGAAGGTGGTGTGAAAAGTTTTAAGGCAAAGAAACCAAAACTTTCTTTTGACCTAAATTCTTACAAAAAAACCAAAAATTTTAAAGAAAATTTTACAATTTTTATAAAAATTTTAAAAGTTTAGCTTCAATAAATAATTTAATAGTATTTTCTATCAAACAACGAGGGTGGTTTGAAAATTACTTTACATTTTTTTTGAAAAATTTCTTTAATTTTGTCACATTTTTAGGCTAAACTATATTTAGATCAAAATAATTTTTGATTTAAACCCTATTTCTTCATTATACGAGGACAGTTTGAAAATTATGTTAAACTTTTTTTTTCAAAAAGTTCATAAATTTTTTCTATGTTTTAAGCTAAATTATAATTTGATCTATATAAAACTGGATTTAAACCATTTTTGTTCCACATACGAGGGTAGTTTGAAAATTATTTTAGTTAGTTTTTAGGAAAATTTCTTAAATATGTAAAATTTTAAAGCCAAAATATAATTTGATTAACATTAGGCTTGATTTATAAAATGTTTCTTGAATATACGAGGGCAGTTTAAAAATTATTTTAATTACTTTTAAGGAAAATTTCTTAAATTTTTAAAATTATTAAGCTAAGCTGTAATATTATGAAAATAAGTCTTAATTCAAAACATTTGTCTTCCTTATACGAGGGTCAATTAAAAATTACTTTAATTTTTTTTCGAAAATTTCTGAAATTCAAAATTTTTAAGCTAAATTATAACTTGATCAAAATAATGCTTGATTTAAACCATTTTTCTTCATTATACGAGGGCAGTTTGAAAATTACTTAATTTTTTTTTGAAAATTTCTTAAATAA